TATGTAGATATATGATTAATTTTGAGCGAACAAAAATTAGTTGAGTTTGATTTCATCAAATGAAAAATAATTTTTCTAATTTTGTAAAAAAAAATTGTTGAAATTBGCCGYYCTCCAATGTTKCCGCTCTAGGCCCGGGCCTATAGGGCCTGTGCCTAAATACGCCTCTGATGGCCGGGCCACTTACAGCAAGTCGCAAACTAGAAATTCGCTAGACTCAAATGGAGACGTGTGTCGTGTACAGCTAGAGTACGTGACGACGCAGTCTACAACGCCACTCGTGTTGTTAGTTCAAAAAACACCTGTGTAGGTGGCACTTGATTAAGGGCTTAAGGCGCGCGTACTCGCTCGATATCATTCCCCGGACGGTTTCACGCCCACCGCAGAATCTGCTGACAAACGGCCCGGGCAATCCGACCGTCGACACATGCCTTCCTCCCCACCCTTTCACCGACATACACTGCGTCGTGCTCTCCCGAGGTGCAAACAAAATGGCGTGATTTTTACATCCCCGATTTGGTTTAAGTCTATTCGCGCAGGACGCGAAGCGACAATAATTATTTAACGACGTAGCACGTTCGTTACAATCTTGAGACGTTGTTGAGAAGAGATAGTCATGAATAAATCAACACTTCGATTTATCAAGTATAAAATTAAATATTTATTACTATAAGTATTAATAAAGTTACAATAACTATAACTCTTGTCATATATGATAAGTTAAGTATTAAAAAAAAAATTACACAGTTATGTCTTTTAGGAAGTATTATGAAGATGATTATTTAACAAAAACTTTTTCAACTTAGCCTACATGAGTCTATAATTTATCACGGGGAAGGGTGGGGCGATTGATGGATCTCCTCCCTTAGGATCTTCCTTGATCATATTTTACGTTTTAACCGCAGGTAGTACCTACCTACCTATATTATATTAGTCTGTGGTTTTTTCTGTTGTCTATGAACTGTGATTAGAATATGCGATATCTAAACACACAGATTAATTTGGTATTAAAATCAGTGAATACACATCATTTACATTTAAAAAATTAAAACATGCTTAATATGTCTACGATACACGCGGTGGTGGAGTGGTCTCAGCTATCTTCATAGCAGTGTTATCATCTCTGACGACATTTCCCCTTTTTTCAACTAAAAAAAAAAAAATGCATATGCCTTTATTATAATAATTATTATCAGACAATACATGTATGGTAGATGCATTATTTATATCATTTTTTAATAAATTATTGTTAAAGTGTATTATTAATATTATAAATATATAAACCATATTATGTACATTTTATATTATAAGCATACAGGGTGTAACATATAGAACTGACTTTTGGAATAACTTTTTTTTTAAATTAATATTTTTTTTTTTCATTAAGACAACTGGATTCAAAGCTATTCGTTTTAGCGTATTGCTAATTTTCAGTATTGTATCGTTAGACTGAGAAGTATTCTAATCTATACAACTGTATCTATTTTTATTGAGTCCCATACCTAACAAAAAACATTATAAAGTTATACTTATACTCATTGAGTACCTATATCAAAAATTTATACCAATTGATAATAATAATAATTCGATGGGACATCGAAGGACGAAAGTGGTTAAAGGTCAGACACGTGTTTATTTTCGATGCTATAATATTAATCTTGCAGTAAGTGAGTTGATTCCCGAGACCTACTTTTAGTTGATTCCTCCCAGGTTATTATTAGGCATGTAAAAGTTGATTCTCAAGCCATTAAGAGATATGTACATCTGTACGAGTTAATTCTCTATTGTTTTATATCAATAGACTGCACGACCGTAACGAGTTCGAACGCTACTTTATTGAGAGAAGTGTTGTCATGGTATACTGGTAATCTCATTAACAGTTACCAATTTAAAAACAAAGTGTAATACATTTTTATAAAATTACTAAATTTTGTTAATAATACTATTTACCTACTACATTTTTTTTTACTTATAATTTTTTATTAAAAAAATTAAAAGAACAAAATTTTTGAGAAACTTGTCAGTCAACCTCCTCGTGGTGTTTCTTGGGTTATGCTAATAGGCTGAAAATTTGAATAAATATTTAAAAAATATCTAATGACTCGGGACTCTACGCAGCCATTGATCCAAACCCGAATGTAAGGGGTGGCCAAACACACAGTTAGGTTGCGTTTATGTGGAGAAACTGAGAAAGGTAAGGATGGAATTACTTTCGCTACAAACAACTTAAAAGAAATATTAAACCGTGTTTTTAGTTAATAATATTTAAAACTCTGTCTTTATTTTTTATTAAATAGGTGGCTTGAGTTCTTCTTATTCCATATGTATCTACAGAGAACACACTCTCACATATTATTTTTTATAATATCCTAACAGTCTAATTTGTTCTTCTAAAGTTTTATGTTCTCATTTGAACGCCTTCATAATCGTGCACTACAAACCTTTATCAACTGATACTGAAAACTAATAATATATAATAAAATACACAGACCAGCGTGTTCATGGCGTTATTGTTAAAATTCAATAAGATAATAATTATAAACTTTTATAAATAATTTGGGCAAACCACGCACTTAAAATTTATTATATATATTGATTTTATTTTATCTTATATTATTACCATTATTAAGAGTGCCTGTTTTTTAGAGTTATTAATGTATTTTCCTGTGATACTTAATGGGACCTAACAAAGTTAATGTTACATAGATGCGACCGTTAATAAAGTTTTAGCAACCCAAATACTCCACACATCTAAAACAATTTACAGATCATATTATATAAATTAATTGTGTTTAGTATTTACATACTATTTTAGTAGTTAGGTTGAAAGTTTGTAACTAGGTATAACAAATAAAATTTGTTTAATTTGTTTAGGTATGCTATAAATTTGGCTTATATAGATATCTGATTGATTTATTTAACAAAATATTTTACAGTTTATTTTAGACTACATAAAAAAAAAATTCAAATTTGTTCTGCAGACCATTGTTATCTGCAAGTTTATATGGTTAAAGCGTATACTTTATGTATGGATAAATCACATAGGCTATGTTGATAATTCATTATTTAATGTAACTTTATATGTCCATAATCATTATCAAATCATTGAAAAATGTAGCGATTAAATTTTTAGGTTACTTATATAACTTAGAGTTATTTAACTCTAAGGACAAAATTTGTTTTATGAAATAACTAAAATTAAAAACTAAATGAAGATATAATTTATAGGATAAGTTTCAAATAGATCTTTTATTTAAATATTTTTTTTCTGAGTTTACCTTACTATCAGTATACTATTCAAGAAAAATGAATGTTGTAGGTATCTAGACACTACACAATAATATAATATATATCGCAGTCTTGTAAAAGTCGCCCACTTTTTTAAATTATTCAAATGCAGTCGTACAAATACAGATACTTATTTTGAAAAGTATTTAAAATACGTATTTGAATATACTAGGTAAAAAGAAAATTTAAGTAAAGATACAAATACTTGAAAAATGAATTTCAATAAATTCTTTCAATTTTTTTTTTTTTACCATATAAATCAATTGCACTTATTTTCATGTTTTGCGTTCATTTATTTATAACATATATTTTACATCAGATCATTTGGTAGAACTTTAAAATACTCTAATAGACCTTTGTTTTTTTTGTCGAAGTATTTGATTTTTGTTTGAGTAATATTGACAATAAATAATATACGTTAATATATCTGAATATTCTCAATTTTATTTTTATTGTACGTGATAATTATTTAAATACAAAATATATAAACTTCAAGTACCAAATTAATAAATATTTAAAAATCAGTATTTAATTTTTAATTAAGATACTTACGAACTTCAAGAAAGTTTTTAAAATACGTTGTTGAAATACTTTTGTTTTAAAAATTTAAAATACGTATATGAGTTTTATTTTAACTTATTACTCAAGTTCTATATAATACTGATCCGTTGTCACCCACTCATCAGAAAGTCCCAAACCCCACGTAACTAGGCAACCCAACAAACACCGCTTTTACGAAGGGTCGTAAATCAATCACGAAGTCCAAAATAGAAACAGTCAAGGAATGGGATGGGTGTCGTGTGTGATATTCTTTATCAATTTATTATGTTTGAAAGATACATACACTGTATCGTACAGAGTAGCCACAACACAATCTGTACACGCTACGCATGCTTCTCAGCAAATAGATTCTTGCGAGAGAGAGAGAGAGTGAGAGAGAGTGATAGAGAAAGAAGGACATGCATACACAAAGGGAGTGTGTGTGAGAAAGAAAGTTTGTCTCCATTCTCTATATTGTGTGTAGGTAATGATAATAATAAGTTGTAACATGGTAGATTAGAACAATATAATATTTTAGTGTCGCACTGTCCGTCGTCCTTTTCCTTTAAACAGTGTCTTGATTTACCAACGTGTAGTAGAGTAGACAGTAGTAACAGTAGATTTTTACCATATTAATAAATAATTGTATATTGTGTTCGTAGATTCAACGAATATGGGTGGTGCACTGTGTAGTAGAATTAGGCCTAATAACGCCGGAGTGGAACGTCACAGACAATCGCGGTCAAACAGTCAGTTGTTAATGAATAAGTGGAAGACAAACGATGTGTTATATTTAAGTATAAAGTCAAGAAGAGATAAACTGCATAAACCGATATCTGAGAGTACACAGAGAACTGTAGCCAAGTTTTCCCCTTGTCAGGTAAGATACCACAATATTTATAGAACGATAACTTGATAGGTATTATTAATAGGTATTATACATTTATACAATTAAAGTATATAATTAACATGGCAAGATTAGTCACGAAATTCACGTGATAGATAGGTTAGGTACATAAATATTTATTTACCATCAATTTATAGGCCAATAGATTTCATTTCACAATATTAGTTATTATCATCATAATGCAAAATGTCGAAAATCAAAACTAAGTTACCTATTAGCTGATTGGACAACTACTATGTGCTAAAATAATATTATAACTTTCAGTTTATACGGCAGTCTCTCTGATGAGTGCTACCTAGCTGTAGAACTATATTACAGCCTACATTATAATTTATGTACAATATTATACCATCATTATTTAGTTTAATTTAGGTACAAATAATATATATATATATATGTGTGTGTGTGTCTAAATCTGAATTTCAGCAAAATTGTCTAACTTTTATATTACTACATTCTCATATTTGAATAACGATGATTAAATATTGTGTAGACTTTAAATAAATGAACAGCTGAATTCTTAACTTATTTATATTTTATGGTTTTTCATTAAAATATTTTACTTAATTATTTCAGTTGAATAATTGTAAATGTCAAGGAGGGATTTTTAAAGGAGTTAAGCGTGATCATTTTGGAAGGAAAAATAGTATTTGCGTCAGGCCCGGTTGTAATCATCCACTATGTGAGTATATTAACATAACAATTTAGTTACAAGGTTGTATTTTTTTTTTTTATTATGAGTAAACTGTAACATATTTACATATTATGTTTTTTTTTTTTTAATACAAGCATTCCGAGCTCATTAGAAGTATGAGTTCAATTTAAATTAGAAATCAATATCTGTTGATCATATTTTGTTATAAAATTTTAATCAGGCAACTTTTAAATTTACTATCTAACTGTATAACATAAAATTATCTACAACAAATAGTTGCATAACAATGATTTCTTTAGATTTATCGTATTCAATTTGAAAAAAATAGTTAAATGTTAAATGTATATATTATTATAGTTTTTGATATCCTATTTAAAAGATAAGATAAATTTTATGTAAAAATGTTATTCATATAATTTTGAAAACATATTGTAAATTTAATATAATCAATATTTATTAGTAATAATTAGGGAACGGATTTTAATTTAAATAAAATATTTTTATGTAGTAATAGCATCGGAAAGTTTTCGATATATGTATACGTTTCATTTAATTCAACAGAACTAGCTGTAGAATTAGCTGTTACAGATAGTCCTCAGTCTGTAAGAATGGTATAAAGATATTTTAATTTTTTCAAATTTGGATGGCAACCAGTTAGTATTTAAGCATGGACTCAATAGTGTTGCGTTTTAAATTTTCAGGAACTCAATTAGTATGTAACTTAAATTAAAATAACTAAACAACTAAAGACAATTTGTACTAACAGATTTATTTGGGATTCAGTTCATATGAGGCCAATAATATTACTCAGAATAGTTTTACTTATGTGGTTATTAATTTAAAATACATAACAAAGTACAAAATTAGTTTATAGCTAAACTTACTTTAAAATAAGTTATAAACAATAATTCATTAAGTATTTTAATTATTATTTTGTTCATTGTTGTATATATAAATGTGTTTATTATTTATTTAATCGTGTGTATGTGTATTTTGTTTAGCTGATCATATAAGTCATTTAAAAAATGTTTCAAAGGGAGAGTTGACCATGTTAAGGAAACTAACATTTGATATCATTAATACTAAAAAAACTTTAAAAAATTTATCTAAAAAGCCCAAGTCAAAGAGGAATATGTTGTTAAAAAACATTTTTGAATCCGTTTATGATGTATGTTATTCATAACTAATACACTTTAATTGAATGATTAACTTTATTTATTTATGTCCTAGGTATTGAATAAAAGTACTCTTATTCGTCCCCTTACAGCACCTAACATTGATACAATCTATGGATCTCCACCATTTGAAAGGACTAACATAGATCAAGTTTTGTTTAACTTTTGTATGCATATCTTTAATGATGATAATATTTTGGTAAGTCTAGACGACTGGTATCAAATAATTTGAATCACTGTTAAATTAAATTATAACTAGTAAAAACAAACCATTCAGACCTTTACAGTAGAGTTTATGAAATCAAAACGCTCACAAATAAAACAAATTACTTTAAAACATTGAAAAATAGCAATATTATATAATTATCACTAAATAATTAAAAAATTGTATTAGTATATAATTGTTATTTATGGTCTTTAAACTTAGCTTTGGTGATAAAACTTTATATTAATATTCATTATAAACTATTTATTTTAAATAYAAAATGTAGGGAAAAAATTCATAATGAATTGTTTTATTTTGAATGAATAATTATATTATCTAATAATTTTTAGTATGTATTAATATTTTGTTAGTATGTAAACAATTTTTTGATAATAATACCTAAGTTCTTGAAAATAAAAATAAACTCTTTAAAAAGATTTTTGGTACCTAGATTTATTTATAAATCAATATCATATGAGATGCTTAGAACAGAAGGGATATAACTGGAATATGTGACATTTTTATAAAATCTGATTAAGTGCACAGCTAAACTACAAATTTTCCATTTTGTTTAGTGGTAAAGATATTATATATGAGTGAACTTATCATCCTGTGCTATGATCTGGTAACAAATCCATTCTGAATTAAAAGGAAAGAGATACAAGTGCATTTATTCTAATAATTTCCAAGAACTGATTAATAATGGTATTTTTGAGTTCTTAAGATATGCTGAAAAAAATAAAATAGTCATAACTAGTGAACAGATTTGAGTGCAAATCGTATTTTTTCTGAAYGTCTTCAAATGTTGTTTTCCAATCATTAAGTTCATTTCATACATCAAGAAATTAAAAATTGTAACTTTTATTATGCATTTTATGTTTCTATGTCATTTTTATATGAGAATAAATAAAATTTAATAAAAAATTTAGTTAAAATTCATTCTCCTCGTTAATTCTTGAACAAAAAAAAAGAAAATATTATTTATTTTTTCTCATTGTACTTCCATTTTTATCCCTATTTTTATTATTTATTATGTTTTTACTGATACAATTTCCAGGGTAAAAAGAAGATTGGAGGAGACAAATAATAATATCATACAAATAGTTAATAAGAATATGAATTAATACAATAAAATATAAATTTTTTCAATATTAAAAATAATTTTAAGAGCACTTTTTAGAGCATTTAAATCTGTTCCATGGTCATAACGAAACATAACCATAATTGATATAAATTTTATAAAAAGTGATAAATAGTGGCTAGTGTTAAAACTCATAATACTCACATAACTCTGTTTTAAATTTCTTGTCCACATTGATATGTTATTCAATCAAAACTAAATACAATATTTAACTGTAAAAAAATATAATTTTAAAACACATGACGTCATTGATTCAGTCAGAATTCAAATATTATATGAAATAATATAAAATTAAATTATTAGGTAAGGTTGTTAATTTTAAAATTTATGTTTTATAATAAATTATCTGCTATTTTAAGTTTGTATTATGAATAATAATGTTAACAACAACACAATTCCTGTTTACAAAATTTCATATTTGAAATTATTTCAAAAGTAATAAGTAATAACATATTTATTAACAATATTACATTATATTATATTTCAGGGATTAAAAAATGCGCTTATACTCTCCAAATTTGTACTAAAATATTTCGATACTTGGATGTGGACTATTCCAAAAGAACAACTAAAATGCAATTCTCAAGAATACTCGAAAAGTTATAACTACTATTATTGTAGGTAAGTATGCACACTACGCTGTAACTTGCATGCACATAAAGTCATATCAAATGCATAGATTAATGGTACCTATATAATATTTTGTTTTCAGGTTTTTGATGTATTGTAGTCTACCCAGATGTGTCCATTCGATTCCCTTACGTTACAGAGCTAGTAAGATTTTTGGTCAAGAAGTCTTAAAATATACTCTTAAAGCATTCAAAATGCAATTGCAAGTTTGGTGTTACAAACACAATATAATGTGGGGAGAACATACAAAATTATTTTGCTTGAACTATTTGCCTATGTAATTTACTTAAAAATAATTAATCTAACACAAAAAATTAAATAATAATACATAATATTGTTTTATGATCTCAGATACATGGATTTATTGGAAAAAGAAGTTTTCAATGATAAGTCGCAAATATGGTTTGTGAATTATGATGTTTCAGATCTAAAACGAAAAACTATTCTTCTGGAATATTCCTAAATAAGAACTAAGCAATAATTATTGCCTTGTATTGTTTGATTTTAAGTTATACTTACCTATTAATATCTTAAATCAATAGCTAGAATTTAAAGTAAATAAATTGAAAGGAACACAAAAAATAAAAATAAATAATATTATATATCATAATCAATGTGTAATTGGAGCCGACTAAGTCGTTGCTTCCATTGATTCAGAAACTACTATTTCATATTTAATAATTTTAATCTTATTGAAATATTGAATGTAGTTTTTATATGATAAGACGTTTTAAAATAGTTTCTTTGATATATACAACCTATTTTAAAATGCAGGCATATACTTAACAATATAAAATAAAATGTTTTCATAATCTCAACTTCAAACATAAAAATTATATCAATGGTTGTCAGTCCAAAAAGGTTAATACCTTTTAAATTGACTACTGACGTTGATAAAAATGAATAAAATCGTTTATTTACACAAAAACCATTTTATTGAAATCAAAAATTTATAAATAATACATAATATTGAAATCAAAAATTTATAAATAATACATTATATTGATTAGTAATATATTATTTCAGTTTACTATATTTGATACATACCTATATGTTTTATTTTTGTTTTTGTGTAATCAGATCTTGTGTACTCATCATCACAATTTGTCCTGCAAAGTTTTTCTTGTATTGTATGCAAAAAATACAAAAAAAATCATTAAATCCGAAAAAATAAATATAAATGTAATGGTTAAGTTATATTTCATAATTGTGTTSTAATACTACAGAAACACAATACTTAATACCTAATGCAAAAAGCTTGATATTATAAAAATTTAAAAAGAGAGTCATCTACATAATATTCTAGCTGTGATATAATATATGTGTAATTATAGGTATGAATATTAATAATAAGCTTCCATTACAAATTATATCACATTGATTCATATCTGTTTAATAATTATTAATTTATTTTCACTCTCGGTTTGTATACATTAATAAGTCAGTTGCTGTATTTTCATTAACACATGACCCGGTTAAATCTGTCTCTTCTTTTTTACACCTTACATCTAAGAGTACACTTAGTGTTAAATTATTATTGGCTTTCAATAAGAATATGATTTTATTATACTATGATACATTTCTTACAAAAAATTTTCAATACGCTACTGCTATAGGTACATATTTGGTATGTTTGTTCATCTAAATGTTAAAGTACTACTGTAATTGTAATAAATAAATAATATATTAACACTACTGTGTCTGATAATTGTCACTGTGATACTTTTAGGAGTGGAACAAAACGTTAATATAATTAAAATTATAATATAAGATATTAATTGAGACAATGTTATTTAAATGTCAATTCATTTATCAGGACCGCATAAAACTTGGGTTCATGATCAATTTGTGAATATAGCAAAAAAACTTTCATTCAAAAATAATCAYGATAATATATTAAATTTCAAATAATGTTCCTAATTAAAACATAATCTGTTCCAGTCCTAAAAGGTTAGGTCTATCAGTTCACAGATTAGGTACATTTTGGGTTAGGTTTTTGGTTAATAAACTGTGTTCCTAAATTATACTAAATCAATATTATTATTTTAACTTTAAAAGGAATGATAGTATTTCATGGTTGGAAAGCAAAATAACTTTCTAGCATTTTCGAGGTATTTTGCTGACTTTTTTTATTAAAAACTGGAATACAATAATATACTACTATATAGTAGAACTTTAAAGTACATTTCTTGATTTTATACATGGTTAATTGATTTAACTATTGTATCATCCAAAATCTAAGTTGATAATTTAATAACAAAATCATATCAGCATTTTAGTGCTCTTTATTATGCAGAGGATGGTTCTTCTTGTTTTCCAAAATAAATAGAACAAATCTTACAAATTTATTATATCAAAAATAATCATTAATTCTAAATTCTTTTTGTGAATACTTCAAAAGTTTTTGAAAGAAATCAAACTCATATTTTAATTATTATTTTTTAGTAACTTCTAATGCTTATCTGTGTATTTTAAAATCAATGTTTGGTGTAATTTGTATGCTTGCATTATATAATTTAATAGATACCTATATTATAATAATATCMATTCAATGTGTTCTGTTCTGTTTTTATATTAACTTTAAATGTTAATGTTTAAATATATGAATAAAAATAATATTATATAAGCGTGCAAAATTAATTGTGCATATATTAAATATGCTGTTTTAGATCTTTTATTACTCTAAAATAATAATAATTAGGTTTACACAATATGGACATACAATTTCATAATAACAAATTAAATATGTACATTTTATGAAAATTCATCCTTATAAATTTTCTTAAGTAAACAAAAATGATCATCTGTATTATCAGATTATAAAACTATTTATTTTATTTTTTACTTTCACATTTTAGAATATAAAATGATTAACAATGTACAATATACATACATATTAAACAGTTTTAAATGGTATCTTGTTATGCGCTCTGCCATGTGATTTCATAGTAAATTTTTTAATAAAAGTATTGGCTGGTCAACTCCAGACTCCTAGTATGCTTCCAAGATAGAATATTATGTCATAATTTAATTTTATAATGTATATATTTATAAATACAGTAGAACCTCATTAATCATCTGGACTCCATTAGTCCGGACTTTACTTAATCTGGATAGCAAACGAAACGTGTAACGCTAATAATGAAAAATACGCAGCTTATGCCGTAGACTAAAATAAATATAAAAGTGAATTCCTCGAATTTCCCATAAGTACATACCTATATGCGTTTCACATAATCTAGAAATCGATAATGATTTTATTTGCATGGATTTCTGTAAATCTTGTAATAGCTTATCTTTGTCAGGCTGTGAAAAATTCACATAAACTGCTTTTAGAGTATTAAAAAAGGTATTAGATTCCTGTAAAAGATAATGATTAAATTGATTATAAAAAATAATGGGTATATATATTATAAATTTTAACGTACATAAAAATGTATTAAATATTATTTAAGTATTTATTATTATTTGTTATGCACCTTAATAGTTCTACAAGTATTTGTTACAACCAAATTCAATTTATGGGCCATACAATGAATGAAAATTGCTTCAGCATGAGAGTCTTTTATTCTAGTTTGAACACCAGATGTGGATCTTGACATAACATTTGCACCATCGTATGTTTGTGCCACAAGAGGAATATCAGAAATGCCAAATTTTTTCAGAACCGAGAGAATTTCAATAAAAACATGTTCGGCTCCTCTCCCATTAGATACATCATAAAATCCAATAAATCTTTCACATAGACTATAGCTATTAGGAATAATGTATCTAACACATATTGATAATTGTTCTGTTTTATAAGGTCTAATAGAAAAAATTCATCAAAATAAAATTATATTAAAATATATTAAGTACCTGATAACTCATTTCTAAGTAGGTAATAGTATAAAATATAATCTGTGGTAATAGCGTATTACCTTGCTTCATCACACATAATAGAGTACATTCCACAGTCTTTTATTTCGCTAATGATAGTATTAATTGTCATGTTTGAACAAACTTCAAGTATACTATTTTGAATAATCCAACTTGTATAGTTAATTTTTCTGTTAAAAAAGTCTGAAAACTCTTTATCGTTCATTGCAAATAATGTACAAAGCTCTTTAAAATTTCCTATAGATAAATAATTTATGATTTACAAACTATCAAACTATAAGTGGTAGTAGTGTTACTAAAATAAAAACATTTCTTCCTACCAGTATTAGAAACTGTTGATGACTTTTTATTTATACTTTTTTATTTAGACCTTAGAGCAAGTCCCTGTTTAACACAAAAGAGGGTTATATTTATAAGAACTTTCATATACTGTCTATTTTTTTAAATTTCATTTTTTTAGCAGTTGATAATTGAGTAACTATAGTGGCAGTCAAGTTTGAGCTTTTATAGCTAGGTATTATACTGGACAGTTGATGTTAAATGTTGAACAGTTTTTGAATGTATAAACAACTTTTCATTCAACTAAAATAATATTTTATTTTTTAATTTTTGTAAATAAATATTCAAACAAAAAACATACTTTTCTCCAATTGTTGTATCCAGTTGTAATTAAATTATCAGTTTTTAAATTCTTTGCAAAATGAATACAATTAAAACAAAAAACAGCATCACGAGACACACTATATTCTAACCATTCAAATTCACTATAGTGTTAAGCATTAAAACTCCTATTTTGAGGTCCAAATTTTGTTAGTGGGAATATCGAGAAAAAAAAATACTTCAAATTTTTTTTTGTAAAATAAAATAATATAATACATTAGGTATGTCAAAACAATTTATAATATTATGTATTGATCAAGAATCGTGTTATTTCTTGTTTTATTTTTATCACACTTAATTATTATTTATTTCATTTTTACTCACCTGAAGTTTAGGTTGCTTTGGGCCCGAATCAATATCACCCAAATCAACAGACGGTATATTAAAATTTAAAACATTATTTTTTAGTTGAATGTTTTCATCATCATCATTATAAATTATGTCCATCGTTCTGTTCATGGATACATATTTTCTTTGCTTTTGATTTATCACTATGAGTTTCGGGAGTCTCGTCCAAATAATTTTTTTGTGTTGATGTATTTTGTTTAATTTTATTTTTAAAATTAAAGATTGAAAACATGATTAAAATCGATTAATTAAGTCGTTATAAACTTACAATTGGCGATGCAATATCGATAAATATATTATTATTAGCAATAATAATATAAGGAACGACTCTAACATACCATACGGCATACGTTATACGCAAATGTCGTGTACTGTGTTACACACACTAAGTCTGTAACCTAAGACCGTTTATTATAAATCTTACTATCTTAGTATCCTCGTAGACTGTGTTGTGTTTGTTGTGGCGTATTGGCGTATCGCCCGTATGCCAGACGTCATGACGAGAATATTTCCGTCCCTCGGGGAATACCAGATTATATTAGTATGTTAGGTACTAATTAAATATACCATACAGATATACATATATATAGCACAGACTATATAAAATAACTAGACCGCTTCGACATCCATATTTCTAATAAATTGAAATCAACACATCCAATAATTCAACATTATAAAAAACAAAATGTTATATTATAAAAATTACTATTGTGTTATAATTATAATTCGATAACTTTTTTTTTTAATTCTTAAGCGATTTTTAGGGGGGCTA